TTGAATGGAAGGGAGGAGGAGACGTGGTCTGGAGGCCCTCCTTTGATAAAGGAGGAGAACGATATGGGGGGTGGGGGGCATAGGGGAGCGGGAATCATGAAGATAAGGTGTGTGAGCTTCATTTTCCACTTAGACAAATGCCTGATATTGTTTTAAGTATTCATTTGCATTTTCCCTTTCATTTGTTATTTTAAGCCCATGATGAAATGGTCATTGTAAAGAGAACAAACTGTTAGAAGCTGGTAGAAACTGGATTTCTGGGGCACCTGGGTGGCTCGGTTGAGCGTCAGACTCTTGATTTTGGCTCTGGTCATGATCTCAGGGTGGTGGAATCGAGCCCCAAGTCAGGCTCCGTGCTGAGTGTGGAGCCTGCTTAAGATTTTCTCTCTCTCTCTCTGCCCCTCCTCTGCTTATGTGCGCGCACACTCTCTCTCAACTTAAAAAAAAAAATTAAAAAGGAACTTGATTTCTGGTTGGAGCCTCTGGGTCTTGATTGATAAATGCTGCTTGAGCACCTCTCTTTCTCTGGGAAATGTCTGGTTCTTCCGGGGACTGAAATGGCTCCTAATCCCTGAGATTAGCTGACAGATTAAGCTTTCAGAAAGCCTCACGATACACAAAAACTAAGTTGAAATAAGAGTGAGAGTTATTTCCTTTTCAGCAAAAAGCCTGAATCCTTCAAAACATATTCTTGACCCAAAACTAAGACAGATAAGCTCTGGATCATCCTGTCTAGGGCAGGATCTATGTATGGACAGAGGCTCCCAATGCAGCATCAGGAGATTAGTATTAGAAAAGACATCCTTGGAGAAATGTCACATGGGCATAGATTCATTGCCTGCAAACCTATGCAGTCCTCAGTACTATTATTCATAAGACAGTTTAGTTTCCTTGTATGGTTAGATTATGTTATTTACGTACATTATTTTAGTGCACCATAGGCCCTCTGAAAGCATCCGTCATGGATTGTTGTATTTTCATTTTCGTTTGTTTCCATATATTTTTTAATTTCTTCTCTAATTGCCTGGTTGACCCACTCATTCGTTAGTAGGGTGTTCTTTAACCTCCATGCTTTTGGAGGTTTTCCAGACTTTTTCCTGTTGAAAGCATCCGTCATGGTACGTAGGGTAAAAACATGGCTTTTGGGAACCTGGTCTTAGGTGAGAAACATGACTATGATCTTGGGAAAGTAATTTAAACTCTGAATTTCTGTTTCTTCCCTTACCAACTAGAATAATACTTCCTACCTTGCAGGTTTTGAGGTGAGGATTAAATTTAAGTGGAAGGCACACAGTAGATCCTTAACAAATCCCATCCACTGTGACTCTCATTGTGAGAAACTGTATAAACAGGGACTGAGTGCTGATAACACTTGAGAGGCAGTGGACTGATTTGGGAGAGCGTGTGTTTAAGTGTTTGAACTTGACATTATTTATAGCAACTGCCATTAAAATCATTGATATCCAAAGTATTTAACCACTTCCGTGTGCACGTGGGTGTGACACTGGACACTGGGCAAAGAAAATGAAACAAAACTTAATTCTGAAGAGATGGTGAGATCTGGACAGACAGGATGGGAATCAAAGGAACTTGGGCACCAAAGAACAAAACTGAGACGCTCTTGGAGGCAGGGAAAAAAATGGTTTCTGTGTTACTGCACAACCCACAACAAAAGAAATTAAGCAACAAGCTAAGAAGGAAGCTACCCACAAGTCCACTACCTTTATGCAACAATTTCTCCTTGTTCCCTTTTCGTTCACATGCATGCGTAATCTCACGTAGGTATAAAGCAATTTGCGTATTTAACATAGTATAAAGCAATTTGCGTATTTAACAGGCATTTTCCAGGTTGTTATACGGGCTTTATAACCATTGTTTTATTCCTATTTTTATTTTTTTCAGTTTTACTGAAAAATAATTGACATATAATATTGTAGTAGTTTAAGGTGGACAATGTAATGATTTGACGTATAAATATTGTGAAATGATTACCATAAATATTGATGTATAAATACTGCAACCTGATTACCATAATAAGTTTAGTTAACATCCGACACCTCACGTAATTACACATTTTTTTCCTGTGATGAGAACTTCTAACATCTATTCTCTTAGTACCTTTCAAATAACCATTATTTAAAACAAAACAAGACAAACCAAAACAGCAAATAACCATTATTTAAGATAACTGCATAGTATCCCAATAAGGTTGATATACCACAATTTACTTAATGTTTCTCTACTCATGGACATTCATTCATTTACTTATTTGACATTTATTGAGCATTTACAATTTTGTCAGGATTTATGAGAGGAGCTGGAAATATAAAACAGTGTCCCTCTCTCAAAATGCTGTAAGACAAGAAAACAAATCAGCTCCTGATCAGGGACTATACACGTGCAAATGAAAAGGGAGCCCCAGAGAATCAGTATCCCCTCCTGGGGGCACCAACGCGCAGCCTCTCACTCTTGGAATCAGGCAAAGCTTTTCTCTTCTTTTGAATAGAGGAGGGAGAGAGGATTGTGACACTTGGGAAGCCCGAATTTTATTGTTTTATGCCCCTTATGCCTCTCTGCCCACCCTCAGCTTCTAGTTTGTCCAAACCTCTCAGCTCCTTTCCATCTCACTGTGATATTAAAGCTTGAAGTGTAATCCTGGATTATATTTGTATTTTATTTTATTTATTATTATTTTTAAATGTTTGTGGGTTTTTTAAAAAATTTTTTTTTTCAACGTTTATTTTTTTTTGGGACAGAGAGAGACAGAGCATGAACGGGGGAGGGGCAGAGAGGGAGGGAGACACAGAATCGGAAACAGGCTCCAGGCTCCGAGCCATCAGCCCAGAGCCTGACGCGGGGCTCGAACTCACGGACTGCGAGATCGTGACCTGGCTGAAGTCGGACGTTTAACCGACTGCGCCACCCAGGCGCCCCTTGTTTTGTTTTTTTATAGCTTCTTTAAAAAAATTCAAGTTTATCTATTTTGAAAGAGAGAATGTGCACAAACAGGGGAGGGGCAGCGAGACAGGGAGAGAGAGAATCCCAAGCAGGCCCTGCACTGTCAGCACAGAGCCCAATGCAGGCCTCGAGCCCACAAACCAAACCTTGAGATCAAGACCTGAGCTGAAACCAAGAGTCAGATGCTTAACTGACTGAGCCACTCAGGTGCCTCATATTTTAGTTTATTTTTTAAAGTTTATTTATTTTGTGGTGGGGAAGGGCAGAGAGAGAGAGAGAGAGAGAGAGAGAGAGGGAGAGAATCCCAAGCAGGCTCCAAGCTGGTCAGTGCGAAGTCTGAGGCAGAGCTGGATCCCATGAACCATGAGATCATGACTTGAGCCAAAACCAAGAGTCAGAAGCCTTTGGGCTCTGTACTGACAGTTTGGAGCCTAGAGCTTGTTTCAGATTCTGTGAGTGTTTGTCTCTCTCTGTCCCTCCCCCGCTTGCACTCTGTCCCTCTCTCTCAAAAGTAAAAACTGAACATTAAAAAACAACAAATAAAGAGTCAAACGTTTAACTGACTGAGCCACCCGGATGCCCCTATATTTGTATTTTAAATTGGTCTAGGCTGAATGGATAAAGCTCATATGGCCTCAGTTGGCCAGGAAGATCATGTGTGGCCTTGCACCTCCTTGTGTCCCTGAAATCATTCTGCTTTGGGCTTGTGTCTCTTAGACCGACCAGCAAATCCGGCTTTTCCCGATGAGCACTGAAAACAGGGCTGCCGGACCAGGAGACCCACTGCCACTCCAAAATGGGAAGAGCACCCCCTCTACCGGTGGTTTCATGAACTGTTCTGGACTCCTTGCCAAAATTTCACTGATTGCTATGAGGGAGGATGGGTGTGTTTGGGGGGATGGGTGATAGGGGGATGCCAGTTCATTTTAGCCAAATCTCCAAACCGGGGGGAGTCACTTGCCCCAAAACACACACGCGCGCGCGCGCGCGTGCACACACACACACACACACACACACACATTAAGCAAGTGTCCTCACATTCCCACTGTCTGGGGTGCATAGCATGAGAGACAGTGATGAGCATTAGCCACCAACATGTGTAGTGACACTTTCGAGGCAAATACAGGCATATCTTGTTTTACTGAGCTTTGCAGATGTTGCATTTTTTACAGTTTGAAGGTCTGTGGGAACCCTGCATCCAGCAAGTCCTTCGGTGCCATGTTTCCAATAGCGTTTGCTCACTTCGTGTCTCTGGCTCACCTTTTGGTAAGTCTCACACTTTTCAGGCTCTTTCATTACTATGACAGGTGAACTGCTGCGATCTCATGATAAAACCTGAGTGGATGAGGAGCTGCTTCTTAAGAATGAGGATAGAAAGTGGTTTCCTGAGCTGGAATCTACGGGTGAAGATGCTGTGAGGAATGTTGAAATGACAACAGAGGACTTAGAATATTACATGAGCTTAGGTACTAAAGCGGCAGCAGGGTTTTACAGGACTGAGTCTGATTTTTTGTTTTTATTTTTTTTAATGTTTATTTGTTTTTGACACAGAGAGAGACAGAGCATGAGTGGGGGAGGGGCATAGAGAGGGGGAGACACAGAATCCAAAGCAGGCTTCAGGCTCTGAGCTGTCAGCACAGAGCCCGACGCGGGGCTCGAACTCACGAACTGTGAGATCATGACCTGAGCCGAAACCAAGAATCCGATGCTAACCGACGGAACCACCCAGGCACCCCACCATTGTCTTATTTTAAGAAAGTGCCAGAGTCGCCCCAGCCTTCAGCAACCACCACCCTGACCAGTCAGTTGCCATCAGCATTGAGGCAACACCCTCCACCAGCAAAAAGACTGTGACTCACTGAAAGCTCAGGTGATGGTTAGCATTTTTTAGCACGAAAGTTGTTTTTTTTTTAAGTTTTTAAAAATTTATTTTGAAAGAGAAAGGGCACGAGTAGGGAAGGGACAGACAGAGAAAAAGAGACCCAGAGAGAATCCAAACAGGCTCTGCGCTGTCACCACAGAGCCCACAATGGACTGTGAGATCATGACCTGAGCCGAAATCGAGAGTTGGATGCTGAACTGACTGAGTCATCCAGGTGCCCGAGCATTAAAGTATTTTTTAATTAAGACAGGTCTTTTTTTAGGCACAAGGTTACTACACACTAGACCGCAGTACGGCGTATACATAACCTTCATACGCACTTGAAAACCAAAACATTTGTCTGATTTGCTTTTCTGTGCTGGTCTGGAAGGGAACCCACGGTACCTCCGAGGCGAGCCGGAGCTGGGATGGTTGACAGGTGTGCTGCCTCAGCTCAACTGTCTGGCACAACTTCTGTAAAACGGGGAAGGTTGTGGTGTTTTTTTGCCAGAGACGGCTCCTCAGCGGAATACGTGAACTGCTCCTGTGGCCCCCCGCCGTGTGGCTTCCGGCCACGTTGCCCCAGGGCTGTCCCAGTGGCACCATGGCAGGCTTGGTTCTTCCCACAGGCATCCCCCAGCTCAGCTGTGTGCCCCCTCCATTCCCTGTCCCTGCTGACCCCAAATCGAGAAGCAGAGGGCCTGCCTGCGACACGGCGGGCTCATTTTGGGCAAAAGGGTTTGCACATAACGTTGGCCTCCATTGTCAGGTTACTCGGGAATCGGGAAGCGCGCTCTCCACGTCGGAGTAAATACTTATCTGTGCATCCTGCAGTAGGTTAACATCCTGCTCAGCACTTCTCCCTGTCACAAGCTTCTCGGGCAGGCTCCCAAACCTCTTTCACCTGCTGGCACACCTAGAAAAGAATACTTGTATTCCTCTCTAGGACGGATGGATGAGGCGGCTCTGATGGGAGTCCCCTGGCATCACCCACAATCCCCTTAGCCCTGCCTCCCACCCTAGGGCTCAGGACCTACTATCACGGCCAACTTTAGCCAAAGGTTCTCCAACTTGAGTGTCCTCAGAATCACCTGGACGGCTTATCAAGGGGCGCCTGCGTGGCTCAGTCGGTTAAGCATCCCGCTCTTGGTCTCATGGCTTTGTGGGTTCGAGCCCCACGTCGGGCTCTATGCTGACAGCACAGAGCCTGCTTGGGATCTCCTCTCTCCCTTCCCCTCTCTCTCTGCCCCTCCTCCATTTGCCCTGTCTCTGTCTCTCTCAAAAATAAATAAATAAACTTAAAAAAACATCAAGCCCAGAGGTTCTGATTCTGCAGGTCTCAGGTGGGGCCCAATAATACATATTCCTGATAAGTCCCCAGGTGATGTGACGCCGCGGGTCCGAGGACCACACTTTGAGAACAGCTTGGCAGCAGCTGCCGGCTGGCTTTGCTTCCCCAGACAGGCTGAGCACACACATGGCCTCTTCAGGAGTGTCCGCTTGGACTGGGCACCCCTCCCCCCAGAAGCTCCTCTTGGCTGCCCCAGACATGCTTCCGCTGGCCCGACTGGAAACATGAGCTGGCTCTTGTTGTCACTGTCCGGATGGGAGGCTTTTGTGTGGCCCCAGTGAAGAGGAACAAGGTAGGGATCTGGTTTCTCAGACCCTCGGACAGTTCCGAGCCCAGCAGGTGCATCTGTGATGTCGGTGGAGAAGGAACGCAGGTGGCTCGGCTGGCCCATCTCCAGCCTGGGGGGACCACAGCCATCAGGCATCTGCTTTAGTGGAGAAACAAAGTTCCGCCCACACGGAGCCCCAGGCTGACTCCTGGAGGGTGTCAAATGTCCCTCCTCCCTGTCAATCCTGTGTCTTTGTCCCCTCCCCTTTCCTTCCGACAGACCGCTTCAGGAAACAGGGTGGGTTACAGGTGGGAGCAGAGGAAAGGGGGCTAGAAGAATCTGCTTCCAGGAAAGCAGTTTCCTCCCTGGCGAAGACAGCACTGACACCCCATCCCCGCAGCCCCTGACTGCCATAGAGTGAGGAAGGCAAGTCACGCCCTTACCTGGTTTGGAGAAAAGGCAGCGAAGGAGAGCCCAGAAACTGGGCAGGAAACCAGGAAACCCACCGCTTCCAACAGGGAGAACTCCCCGGCTTCGAGTGAAGGCCTCTTTCTTCCGGGGGAATAGCCTGGGGAGGACAGACGTGGGGAATTTAACAGGGACAAAGTGTGAGAGGGGGTGTGTGCCTCATGCTGTGGCACATCAGTGAGGATGGCCTCTGCGGGCAGAGGTGAGGTAAGCGGGAGCGGGGGAGGGAAGGCTGCCGTCAGAGAGGGTGCTGGAGCTGAGTCTCACAGGAGCAGCCCCCTGTGCCCCTAGCGAGACCTCCCCTATGTTTCTGTCTTTTCCCACAGAGCCAGAAGCAAAAGCCCGAAATGCGGTGAAAACCTGCTCTTTCCCATTCCTCCTTCAGATCTCAAGTTTCCTCCTGCACAGTCTGGACTGACTTTCCAAAAGGACACATGGCTGATATGTTTTGCATGTTCCTGTCACCTTAGAGCACCCTCACGGACAGGTGAGCTTTTCAGAAAGGGGAAGGATTCTCCTGAAATTGAGGGGTTTGTAGGAAGTCTGTCCTGCACAGCAGACCAGATCCCATGATAACCTGTGTCCGAAACTCAAGTGTAGTTTTCACAGCAGTAATCAGGGATGCCTTTGATTAAAAAAACAAAAGGAAACACCCACAGTCTGTTCAAGCCCACTCCCAGAAACAGATTCCTCAGACCTGGGATCGTGCTGTGGGAGTTTTTGAGCATCTGACATGTTCCCAAAGCAATTGGGCAGGGGCCACCCTTTGCCTTTGGACGCTCTTACCACCTATTTGGGGGACTACCTGGGCTGTCGATGCCTGGGGAGATTCCTCCTGAAACAGTGCTTTGGGGGCTTGGAAGATCTAACCACATCTCTGGGTTAGGAAGGAGCCCCCAGTTAAGAAATCGAAGCATCATCCAGAGCCGGGAGACTGCTCACTGGTGGCCTCTGCAGAAGGGTCCGTGGGCAACATCACCGATCCATTAGCAAGCAATGCTGGCCAGCGTCCCAAGTAAAAGGTTAGAGTCCTACTTTAGGAGAGGATACTAATACGTTCCATCTGTTGAGAACAGTTCGCAAAGGGGTTCATCTATATGCTCTCATCTGACCCCGTGAGGGAGGCCCGCTTTGGTTCCTATAACCACAGCGGCACCAAAACGTGGCTGGGAGGGGCTTCAGCGACACTGAATTCCCCAGTTCACCCCCCACAAGCCTGTGGTCTAAGTAAAATGGTGTATGTGTGCTTGTGAACAATTTCCCATCACCCCCGCCTCCTTCCTTAGGGCCCACTAAGTGCCTCCTATAAAAAAAATTCTGGAGCCTCACCAATTACAGCCATTTTGCAGAAGAGTAAACTCAGACTCAGCCTTGCCAAAAGTTGCATAGCTAGGAAAGAATGGAGTCAGGGCCTCCCTCCTCACTCACTTGGGCCTCGCTCTTCAGATGGCCCAGAGAAGGCCTCTCTCCTAGCCTGTGCTGCCTCCTTTTGAAAAGGAAAGTCAGAACCCCTAAGCCGGTCGTGGCTGGCAGCCTCTGGCAAGGGACTTCTGCCTCTCAGCACCTATGAGACACTTGTCTGGATTGTTCCGCGGAGATGCCCAAGAAAGAAGGCCTCCCATACCCAACCTGACTGGGGTAGCCACCCCCCTCCCCCACTGTTCCCTCGGGGAAGCTCCCTTTCTAAGACAACTCTACCCTCTGCGCCCCAACAGCGAGGATGTGTGTCAATGACAGAAGTTAGGGAAGGCTTTCCTGGCATACAGAGGTGGACAATCGGGGCTTCTAATGATGACGAGGACAGTAAAAGCCACACTGGTGGTTTGGGGGTGTTTGGAATCTTTCAGCAAGGCCAAAAGTCCAACGAACCAACCCACATACACCTGAGCCAGAGAAGCAGAGACGATTTGAGTTCATCTATGTTACGTTCTTCCATAATAACTGTATATTGAATAAAGTTTAAAAGGTCAATCCCAGGGCGCCAGGGTGGCTCAGTCGGTTAAGCATCTGACTCCTGATTTTGGCTCAGATCGCGATCTCACGGTTCCTGAGTTGGAGCCCCGCGTCTGGTTCTGTGCTGACAACACTGAGCCTGCTTGGGATTCTCTCTCTTCTCTCTCTGCCCCTCCCCACGTGCTCTCTCTCTCAAAATAAATAAATAAACTTAAAAAAACCCCACATAAATCCTATCATGCTTTTCTAGTGTTGATTTTAGCAACAGTTATGAAGTTTCAGGTCTGCAGCAGAACATTGACCTTAAAAAAGCTACCTTGGGTTTGGGTGACCTGTACCGTGAGGCGGCTGTGCCTTACCTGGTGGACTCAGGAGAAGAGCAGGCCTTCTGGGAACCACCATCCAGGCTCGGCTCAGGACTCACCTACACTTGAGGCTTGTGGGGGCCAAGCTGCTCTGGGGACCCCCTCTGTCCCTCCTCTGGTTAAATGGAGCAGTGAACTTGTCCCCTCCCCTCCCCTCCCCCTCTCAGGCTCTGCTCTGTATCCTTGGTTGGAGAGCCCTGAGGGCAGAGATGGGCACCTTCTGGACCCTAGCCTTGCTCTAGGATGGAGAGGCTCTCCCTCCCACCTGGGGACACAGGCCAGTGTCCTGGTTTCTAAGTTGACTGGAGCTTTCTCCCTTGTCAGAGATGCTACTGAGATACCAGTGAGGGGCCTGGGAGCACAGGGCAGGGCAGCTAAGCAAGGAGAGGCCCTATCGCTGTTGGAACCCACGGGTTTCTGGATGCATGAACTGCCTGGGGTGATAGCCAGCCTAGGGGGATTCTGTGGTGGGGGGTGGGGAGCAGAGAGTGCTGGACAGCAAACATAGGCTTTGGTGTTAGATCTTAAATGTTTGCTTTACCTCTTACTGGCTGTGTGACTTTGGACAGGTTACTGAACTCTCTGAGCTGAGTTTTACTGTGTGAGTGGATTAAATGAGTCCCCCGCATAGTGCAGGGTGCCCTACAGACATTGGTTCCTGTACCCTTCCTCCTCCCCCAGAGTCTGCCTCCCCAGCAAGCTGGGCACATCCCCTGGGAGCCCCCCAGCTACCACGTCCTCCCATAAAAACGCAAAATCAGAGTCAGTCCCCAGAGTGCTGAGCCTCCTGCCCCCACTGTGTCTGAGGCCAAGGGACAAGGGAGAGAGCAAGCGGCCTTTGCCTCTGGACATTTCCTCCTCATTAAGCTCAGATGTCACCCCGGTCCCTGCAGTTCCCCATCACACAGGCAGGAGAGGGCCGCATCCTGAGAGGTCTTCACATTTCCTCTTCTCCCTCTAGCCTCTCCCCACCCTCACCTCCAAGATCTGCAAGCCCCTGGCAGAGACAGGGAGTGCCACACCAGCAGAGCCCTGGGGCCCCAGGGGCCTAGCTGGCAGGGTCCCAGTGGAGTCCTGGGCCCTGTTGGAGAAGAAGGACGTCTGCTTCTTCTGGTATCCCATGAGGATGATGGAGTCTGCCCCTGATGGGGTTATCAGTCTGATCACAGAAGCCTCTCTCCAGCCAGCTGTGCCAGGTTCCCATGGAATGTAAGCGCAGGTGGGTTTGGCCTTCTAGCGAGAGTTTGGGACTGGCTCTGGGCTGGACTCTAGGCTAAGTCTTAACAGCTGTCCATGAGGCTAGACTTGGGTGAGTCCCCTGCGATGGCTGTGGATTCCCCTGTGCTTTCCAAAACGTGCTTCCTAATCTAGGTATTAGCACAGCTGTGACCTCAGCATGCGCTTGTTCCAAGCTGGAGGCTGGGCTGTTGTTTGTTGTGCAGCCACTGGGTGGCAGTGTGCAGCACTTTCCTACCCGCAGCCTCTGGCCGCTCCATTCCTTCCTTGCAAGAGGTATTCTCACACTTGTGTGTGCACCAGAATCACGTAAAAGACGTGTTAGAACATTTTTGCCCTGCCTCTTACTAGCTGCATGACTTTGGGCGGGTTACCAATCTTTCTGAGCTGATTTTCTGATTCAGCAGGTCGAAGGTAGGGCTGAGAATTTGCATCCCTAACGAATTCCAAGGTGATAGCGCTGCTGCTGTTCAGGGGACAGTTCGAGGGGCTGAGAGCTCTCCCAGATCCCTGGGAGCCCAGTGGCCTGGGATCAGACTCTCTGATTTCAGGAAGCAGGTGGACATGGCCACAGCTCTCCTCCCTGGAAGGTTCCTCTGCTGACACGGCTCTCCCCCAACTCCCCCCTCCCCCAACATCTTTTGTCACTGAATCCCTAGAGCACCTCTCCACCACAGCCCTCAGTGGCCAAACAATGAACCTCTCTCCAAAGACAGGAGTTCAATAGAGGGTAGGTGCCATTGGAGAGAGAACAGGAATTGGAGGAAAGTAACTGGAGAAGGTCAGAGAGGAAGGAGAAGGAGGAGGGAGTCTGCACACACAGTGGTCCCAGACTCATCTCAGATGGGATAACCACCAGGGGTGCAGGGGGCCTGAGATCAGGAGGCAGACCTGGCTGGCTAAGAAGACCCCTGGAGGCCAGGCCCCAGAGGCTCCCTCATGCACTTCTTCCTGGCCCCTATCCCAGGCTCTTTGCAGCATGTGACTGATTTCTGGCCAGTGGAATGGGGGTAAGTGATCATTCCCCACCTGGCCTACAAAGGCCTTCCTTGTGGTCTCCAGTCTCTCAGTGTGTGTGCCACTTGGAGGTGAAAGCCCTGGGCTTCCTTGAGGGTGACGGAGCCCCTGACATCCCATGTGATTGCATGGAACGGGGCGCCCCGCCCCCCCTCCCCACGCCAGTAGACTTTCCATGACCAAAGCATCAACTCCTACTGAAGGAAGGCGCTGAGATTTCAGGATTTCCCTGTTACAACAGCTAGCATTCTCTTGACCCGTGTATCAGAGGCCCGCCCTGACGGGAAATGAGACACTGCTTTGTCTCCACTAACTCATTTACTCCTCACACCAATGTGAAAGGTAGTATTATAATAAATCCCTATTTTGAAGGTGCAGATGTGAGGTGGGCGACTGGGGAGCTGGTAAGTATGCTGTCCAGATCACATGGTGATAGCCTCTGGCAAGAGGCGGGGCCGCGATCTGAACCCAGGATGTCTGTCTATAGCCCACACACTCCAAACTATGCTATGTGCTCCCCCAAAGACTC